GTGAGCAGATTGTAGAGTTCAACAAGCACGTCGTACTTGTGCTCCTCCGAATTGCAATCCATATAGAATTGTCTGATGAGATCGACCGACAACTCTTCCTGCTTGAGACGAATCTCATTGGCTGAAGGGGCGAGACGGGCTGCAAACTCGCGAACGACGTCGGGGAATGTGGCACTGAACAGAACCAGCTGGCATGATTTTGGCATTGTGCTTGATCGCCAGAGCAGTGGGTCGATGCGTCAGCGACGTTTATCAGTCTCTTTCGGCCTACGCATACTAGCCGTGCCGACATTTCTCAAAAACTTCACCAGTCCTGAGCCAAGGTTTATGCACTCACTTCTTGACCCTAATACTCTGCTCTCCCAAGCTCTGCTGGTCGAGCATATTGTCCGCCTCATCCAGCACAAACACTTTGATCTGACTGGTATCGATGCTCCTATTCTTGATCAGGTCGAACGACTTGCCAGGTGTTCCCACGATGATATGAGCGTCCACCTTTTCGCCTCTCTTGATGCCGTCTGGGATCGCGTAGGCCGTCTTTACCGGGGTGAATTTGCCCATCTCCCTCACTACGTCCATGATTTGACGAGCCAACTCTCGGGAAGCTGCAACAGCGGAGGGGCATTTCGGTTCACATCAGTCTCCGCTGGCATTGACTTTGGACAGACACAGCACTCACGTGCGAGAGCGATAGCCTGAGGCTTGTTGATAGCAAAGTCGACTCTGCTAAGCATGGTGAGGACAAATGCAGCGGTCTTTCCCGTGCCGCTCTGACTTTGACCGATCATGTTTCTAGGAGGATTTTGCAACAGTAGAGGCAAAGCTCTCTCTTGGATTTTGCTCGGCTTTTGATATTTCATGGAATAGATGCCCTTGAGCAGCTCGGGGGCTAGACCCAGCTGCTCGAATGACTTGACGGAGAAGAGCGGCGAATTGGGATCCGCCTGTTGATCCGCCAATGTCACCTTGACATCGTGAGAGGACTCTACCAGTGTGGAGTCTGCATCGGCGCACCGGTATCACAATGTGAATACAGCCGTCAGATCATCTGCCAGTGGCGTGCAAAGGTTCGCAAGGTGCCGCACTCACCAAGACCTTTGCCCTCGGGGGCACTGGGCTCAGCTGCGCTGGCCCCCTCAACTTCACCTTCTTTAGCCTTGTCCGCATCTCCACCATTTGCAGCAGACGCCTCAGAGCCAGCCGCGTCTTTGCTAGCTGCGGGTGACGCGCCCTTGTTCATGAGGCTGTTGATGCGCGCCGTGATGGCATCCAGACCTTCCGTTGGTTTGTCAGCCATGATGCTTGACTTTGAGGGCGGTGTGTGATGGATGGATGTCTGAGGTGGGGGGGGGGGGGGGAAA